AGTAGTCCAAAACTTTGAAGTTGACGTATCAGAGTATTTTTTTAATATGAAAAAAAAATTGAATATCGCTTAGGGATTAGATTCTTTGTTTTGAAAGGTTTAAAAGTAAAGGAAATTTATAAACAATTGTTAAAAGTGTATAAGGATGCCTCACCTTCAAAACGCACCGTTGAATTTTGGGCTGGTGAATTTAAACGTCGTCGTACTAGGCTTGAAGACGATCCACGCCAAGGACGACCAAAAACAGCAACCAACACCAGAAATTATTGAGCAAGTTCAGAATATTGTTAATGAAGATCTAAGTTTGACTAAGCGTGAAATTGTAATGCCATAGACATTTTGGACGATCGCGCCATTCCCACAACAGCCGGTTCTACGTTACCGGAATTAACCCAGATTTTATCCGGCCAAGAGCTGTTATTTCGGCGATCTAACCCTGTTTGGATCGGTAAGTTCTAGGTTAAGTTTGGCGTCATTGGAGCAACACTTAGCAGCAGTTTTGCTCCGTATCCTCCTGACCCGTGCTGGCATCGAGTCCAACCCGGGCCCCGAATAATTTTACTGCTTCGTTTGCCCTAGAAGGCTCCATCCACATCGGTTAGGTGCAATACGTGCAATGGATGGAGCCATCTTAAGACCTGCTCAGGCCTTAAGACTCATAGGGAGTGGACCACGAGTTACGTGGCCCCATGCTGCCAACGCAATACTACGACATCTGCCTCAACGGCTGTGCAACCTGCACCATGTTCGCGCACTGCGCCACCACTCCAGGCGAGTGGCCAAGATAGGACCTCCACGGCCCTAAGGAGCTCACACAGGCAGCATGACTCCCAGTCTGACCAGACCCAGTCCGTGCAATTTCGTCTAATCGATGTTGACATCGACCGCAGGGACACTACCCTTGAATGTCAGGGTATAGCTGTCCGGTCAGGCGATGTCGAGCTCGAAATATTTAATATATACATCCCCCCTCTTACATGTTGCCCAACAGAATATCACCCGAACATAGATGCGCTACTTCGTGGTGAAAACCGTTTGGTGCTAGGCGACTTTAACGCGCATCATGATATTTGGCACTCCTGCCTATCAAATGATCTTAGGGGGATGGAGCTGGCGGAACAGATTGACGATTCGACATTCTGCACATTGAATAACGAAGCCCCCCACCAGAATTATGGGCACCTGCAATAGCTCGCCAGATATTATCATCGCTAACTCTCACATCAGACCATCTGTCCATAATTATCTAGATTGAGAAACCTCCCGACTTTTTTTCTGTGGACAACCGCACCTTTGTTAACAAAGCTAACTGGGTCGGCAACACAGAATTGACTGAGAGTACCTTCAACGCACTACCCATTCCTACGGACGTCATCGTTGGCGAGCTTCATACCGGCTGGAAAAATCGCGGAACTCCGCCCTAATTTCCTAGCCGAAGCAGCTGTACTAGCAAACGACAGCGACACCTTACGCCATGCCGATCCAAAATATTAAACCATCATAAGCGGACAAAATGGATAGAGCACCTGAAGTCCTGCAACCTCTCCACCGGTGTAAGTAAGCTTTGGACTACTGTCAAGGCCCTGTCAAATCTGAGGAAACATGATGATCGGGTTGAAATTCCATTCGATGGGCATGCCTCCTCGGACCCGAAGAAGTGCGCGAGCTATTTTAGCCGGCAGCTTACACTGCACCCTTCAACTGACAAGGCCAAACGATGTGTTACCGGCTGCACAAAATGCCAAAAGACTGGGCACCACTTACTTTCACCGATGGGGAGGTTCAGAGTGGCATCACAAAGGCCAAATCGTCCGAATCCATTGGCCCTGACGAAATAAGCATGCTGATGCTAAAACATCTAGGCTCGAGGGGAGTAAGCTACCTTACCAAGGTCCTCAACTTGTCGATGGCCACTCTTCAAATACCCGATGTGGGGAAAGTCGGAAGAGTGGTCCCACTACTGAAGCCTGGGAAACCCGCCAACAAAGGGGAGTCTTATCGTCCGATAACTCTCCTTTTCCCAGTAGTTAAGATACTTGAGGCCTTGTTACTCCCGACTTTCACTCTCCACCTGAGTCACAGCACTTAGCATTATAAACGCCCAGATAGTTCAGGGCCTAAACCAGAAGCTACCCTGCGAGAGGACGATCCTCGTAGCGTTGGACTTGTCGAAAGCCTTCGACACAGTCAACCACACAAAGCTACTAGAGGACATCGAACAATCTACGCTCCCCGATATTGACGTCGGGCAATGGAGTCGATGGCATGTGCTCGAAAGTAAACGGCTATTTCTCCGATCTTTCTCGCTTCTTCTCTGCAAGGAGTCTGACACTCTCCCCCACTAAATCCACAGCGACCATATTTCAGACTGGACGAAGGAGTACAGACTGGATCTAAACATTTCAGTCAATGGTACCAAAATTCCGACGGTAAACAACCCTAAAATTTTAGGCGTTAGTATAGACAGTCTTTGCTCCTTCACTCCTCACACGACCGCGATAACTGCCAAAGTACAGAGCCGCAACAAAATCCTCAAATCGCTAGCCGGCAGCTATTGGGGAAAAGATAAAGAAACGTTGCTGGCGACATACAAGGCAATCGGAAGGCCGGTCCTAAATTATGCAGCCCCAATATGGTCGCCTGGATGTAGTGCAACGCAGACGAAGAAGTTTCAGACTTGTCAGAACACTGCACTCCGGACTATCACGGGATGCCTCTTGATTCCCCATTCGAACACCTACACAGTATGCTTCCGGTTAAGGAACATAACGAGCTCCTCTCCAAACAGTTTCTGCTGGGTTGTTTGCGTAGAAAGCGGAGCCGCCTCCTAGGAACATCAAGAGGTCTTTCCTTGATTATGTCGACGACATTAGACACTACGCCGACCGGACTTCGGACGCAACAAACTTCAGACAGGCGCCCTCTCAGTAAATGGCGTACTACGCGTCAACCCACCACCCATAGCAGACTTAGAGCTCGAGTTGCCTCGCGAAACCAGAGTGACCCTCGCGCAACTTCGTTCTGGATATTGTAGCAGGTTAATCTCCTACTTATCCAGAATAGACCCTGACATACCAAACACATGTCCTGCTTGCAATGAGTCTCCGCATGACACTAACCACCTCTTTGCATGCCCAACGAACCCCACTCATCTAACACCCTTTTCCCTATGGTCCGACCCCGTCGAAACAGCTCGTTTCCTGGGCCTCCCGTTAAATGACCTCGACGACAACCAATCTGGAACTTATCACCCAAACGGGGATTAGGTAACCGTTACAACAAGAACAACATCGCGAACTTCATATTTTACATAGAGAATTACATATGAAAAAGCTATTGGAAAGTTAGTGCCGCACACGTTAACAATTCAACAAAAACTGGATCGGTTTCTCAGCATAATTTGGAGCGTTTTAAGCAGAATTAAAAGACATTGATTCTAAATTGAAACAAGAACGTTTACAGTGCCCTGTAGCTGGTTGTTCAGCTCCAAAGCAGGTGAAGTCACAACGATCAGCAAAGAAGGTTATGGCATCATTACTTTTGGATGCAAGAGGAAATTTGTTGATCTATTATTTGCAGAAAGGTAATTTCAATTTTCAATTTTGAATATTATTGCAGCCTTTTGAATCAGCTGAATCAAAAATTCGTGAGAAAAGACCTGGTTAGCAGCACAAAAAATTAATTTTCCATCAAGACAATGCAGCTGTTTCCAAAGGTGTTTTAACAATGACAAAATTCAACTTATTAAAGTACGAATTGCTTGAGCATCCACCGTATTCACCAAATTTGGCTTCAATCGACTACTACCTCTTCAGAAACCTGAAACCATTCCTTCGTAGAAAGCGTTTTTGGTCGAATGAAGAAGCTATTACAGCCGAAGAAGAGTATTTTGCAGAGCTTCCGGAAATTCAATATAGGGATGACATAAAATTATTGGAATAAGTGTTTTGAAGTTAAGGGAGATTATATTGAATAAAAAAATATATTTCGTACAAAAAAAAGTATTTTTTCATTTCGAGCGCAGAAACTTTTCGACCAACCTGTATATCTCGTGTTGTATCCAATAACTAAGAAATGCTCAAGCAGTTTGTAACGTTCGAGACCGTGTCAAAGAGAAAATTCGTTTATTTATATTTTTTTTTTCGATAAATGCGAAAATGCAAATCAGGTGGTTAAAAATTAGAAATATTTATGGTCCTGCTACTGTAATAGCCAATCATGCTCCATTCTATTTCGTCGATTCTGTTCCTGTAATTTTTATGTCAAAGATGCACCACGATCTTGGAGGCCAATAGTCGAAAATATTTTTTAAAAATAATGAAAACTATTAGCTGAACCTTGCACAAAAAACCGATTGAAAACATTGAAATATATCTAGATACAAAAGGAAGCTCCCTGTAAGGGTTCCACAAGAAAATCCCAAAAAAAAATATTATAGACATAACATATATAAATAGCTGGGGCATCTTAACAAAATCGATAAATTTTTGTAGCTGGGTTACTAGTGGTGTGGAGAGAGACTAGAACGTCAACCAAAAACGGTGCCCAAGCCAGGATTGACAGTCAGGAATATTTAGGAGCTGCAGTCATCAATTGAACCATCAAAACGAAGCAATCACCCAGAAGCGGCCGGCTTTGGCCAATAGGAGAGAAATTGTGTTCCATCAGGACAACGCCAGGCCATCGATAGTGACTTGCCAGAAACTGTGGGAGATTGATTGGAAGTTTTTTACACATCCAGCTTATAGTTCAGACGCACCAAGTGATTATATTCGCCTGAAGGGAGGCTTGTAAAATAAACTTGTAAATAATCAGTGTTACCTTATCTACATATTTTACAAAGAAACCTAAAAGAATAAGGAAAACAGATAATACCCCAATGGCAGTAAATAAATATAAAGTGATTATATTCGCCTGAAGGGAGGCTTGTAAATAATCAGTGTTACCTTATCTACATATTTTACAAAGAAACCTAAAAGAATAAGGAAAACAGATAATACCCCAATGGCAGTAAATAAATAACACGTTATTAGTTTCTGGCGGAGAATGCCTTTCTGCATTGACTTCAAAACAATAATCCTGGTCGGTCCAACACCATGGTGTGTTCTGTTCACTCGCGTAGAACTCCTTTTTGCGTTGGCGGTTGTTGTTGTTGTTGTAGCGGCAGAATTCTGCCGAGTTGACAGTCACAGTAGACCGGGCTGTCGTGGGAACGGGGTGTGACGGTTGGCGGTTGTTGTTGTTGTTGTAGCGGCACAATTCTGCAGAGTTGACAGTCCTTGGCCGGAATAAATCCCGGTCCGTTCCGGTTACGTAGACCCGACTGTCGTGGGAACGGTTGGCGGTGTTGTTGTTGTTGTAGCGGCAGAATTTTGTCGAGTTGAACGGTTGGCGGTCTTCTACCCCGCTTCAAAATAAATAACCCTGGTCCACTCAACACCGGGATTTACTAACAAAAAAAAAAAGTAAATTCTTAAAGAGTTTGCATTACTTATCGCACGAATATGAATTTGTATTGACGATCTTTCCTTTCTATTTATTTTTGATCGTTTGCAAATTACGGAAACATAGCTTTCGAGATATTTGCATTTTAAGTTGAAAATTTCACAAATTTTATTTTACAATTTCTCGATTTATGGTTAACTTTTCTTTTATATTATGCACTTATTACACACTAACACTTCACTACAATGTTTCTACATATTTATTTTATATTAAATATTTAAATATTTGCTTTAAATAAGCATTTTATTTTTACACAATTTTCGTAATATGAACAATAACAAATGGGTTCCATGTTGTCAGATAATAAGTGTTGCCATATCCAAACGAATGAAAGCAATCAAAATAAATATAAAACCCAATCAAATAAAAGATAATAAATATAAAAGAAAAAGGTTTTATGGCTTAAACGTATGTGTTATATCATCTGATAATTTCACAAATGGATCATGATGCAGATTTGCAAAATTTTTACACCATATGTATTCATATATCAAATTTTCAAAATCTTCACTGTTATAATAATTATCCTTAATAAAAAGTGAAGTTTACAGAGAGTGATATACCCTGCTTAACATTACTTTTTTTTTGTTAAGATTTTTCATTAGCACTGGCGGCCTTCGGCCGCGCTTCAAAATAATAACCCTGGTCGGTCCAACACCGGGGTGTTCATAATTCAATAGCGTCAAACTCCTTTCTGCACTGGAGGCCTTCGGCCGCGCTTCAAAAAATTAACCCTGGTTGGTCCAACACCGGGGTGTTCATAATTCAATCGCGTCAAACTTCTTTCCACACTGGTGGCCTTCGGCCGCGCTTCAAAAAAATAACCCTGGCAAATCCATACTATAATTTATCAATAAAAGGGAATGAACAAAATTATAGGTCTGTATTTGGGGTATAATCCTCTTTTATTGTTCATTTTAATTCGCTTTCAAAATATAAATATATCCAGAGAACGATATATGTTCTCTGATATATATAATAGATATATATACCTATATATATATAATAGATATGGCAACACTTGTTAACTGTCAACATGGAACCCATTTGTAATTGTTCATATAACGGAAATTGTATAAAAATTAAATGCTTATTGAAAGCAAATACTTAAATATTTAATATAAAATAATAATGTAGAAACATTGAAGTGAAAAGTTAGTGTATAATAAGTGCATAATATAAAAGAAAAGATAACCATAAATCGAGAAATTGTAAAATAAAATTTGTGAAATTTTCAACTTAAAATGGAAATATCTCGAAAACTATAAGTTTCCAGCGGCAATAATTATATATATTCGTGATCTGGAGAATCTCTTCTATCTAACCATACCCCTCTTAACCCTGAAATCGTGGGATGCTAAACTAAAGCCCACCCTTTATTTTTTTTAAGCGCAATCGAAGGCCGCCTGTGCAGAAATGAGTTCGACCCGAATGAATTATGAACACCCCGGTTTAGAACCGAAATGAGTTACCACGCGAAAGAACATGTGCCAAGTGAGTAATTTTTGGAATTTTTTGTAAAAATTCATTTTTTTTTTATGAAAAAAATAATAAATAATTGCAACCATTAACTTTCCGCTCACGGTTTTGTAATCTTCGCGTCAAAATAAGATGATTTAAAGAAACAACAAATTTATATTCGAGGCCTCCTTCGTTAGACTTGAAACTATACATTTAACTTAGTTTCTTAGATCTAGATAAACAGTATGTAATTAATTTTTATATACTAACTTGGAAAGGAGCCCGCACATAAAGACCTATTAACTTCAATATAAAACTTTAAACAATCTAATAATGTAGTTTGCCCGTCACCTATTTTGTTTAATCCGACTAAACCAACTTTTCAATAATATTGGCTCTCATTTTAATTCCTATATAGTGTGGGTTATATGCAATATGGCCACGCACCTGATAAACAATGTTTTAAAATCAATTCTTTAATGCCCTGTTTACAGCCACTGACACTACTGCTACACGTCACTTCTAAATCCAACTACTTCAATATTTACTACGATCCATCTTTTCAAGATAGTCTTAACGTGTAAACAATAATTTTTTATCAACATATAATTTACATATTTCAGCACTAGCAAATATTTTCTTATATTGCAATTTTTACATTTCAAACACACGCCTTAGTAAAAGTTCGTAAAATTCCAGATTAATTGATTTGAAGTCAGTATACGGAACAATTGAAAAAAGGAAGCCAAACAGGTGACCAATATATTTCATATTATATATAATATATCGCTTACATGTACTGAAATAATAAACGATCTACCAATATTTTCATAAACAAAAAATGATAATGTAGTATCCTGTGAAAGGCAGGAGATTTTTACGTATAAAAAATTTAGTTCGAACTAGAATTGTAACAAATATATTAAATTTTATTTTTATAATAAGAAAAGATCATACCGTTGAGTTTCACACCCTGTTGTTATATTATAAGTGGAAGCTATCTTGGATTGGTGATTTGCTACAACTGCGTTCAGACGAGGACTATTTTTTCGCTCTTTATCGGCAAATTCTCGTTTGGTGCCGCTTAATGAGTTCACACGAGCGACACGAGTCCGACAACTTGAGTCGGACAATTTTTGCATTTCCTTTCATATCACTTCCTCAAATTCTTGTAAGCTTCATGTCCGCGGTGCACAAAAATATTTTTGATTACTTAATTTTTATAACTATTCTCCAATTTCTAAAATATTTCTCATACAAAAAATATACATAAAACTTTAAATTTCCAAATTTAATGTAAATATTCATTTGAAACCAAGCGCTATTGCAACCATAAAAGGAATTTCAAAATTGAACAAATCACAAAGCCTGCTATCCGAGTATCAGTGGCACGGTCCCTACGCCTTCCCTCGTCGTCCCCTCTCCTACAAAAACAGGTTTGTACGACAAAAAGAGTCCTCGTCAGAACATATATTGTCTTTAGGCGCGGCCCTCTTGTAAAAATCTTTACATGTTAAAGTAACAGCAATGATAGCTAGTTAGTTGAATTCATACAAGAGAGTATAAGCAGAGAACTTAAAACAATGAGAAGGTGCAGGTTCGACAGCGAACAATTTGTAGGAATTTATCAAGGAGTTCACCACAGATGCACGAGAAACAAATAACATTTTTCGCTTTTATAACAGCGGTGAATCTGTACACATACGCTCTCTTAACATAACCAACCGACGAATATTGAAGAGAATATAATATGTGAGCAAAACTGGGCATATTGATATGCCATTTGAAATATATTCCCTTTTATTGAATTATTATTAATTATTTTTTAAATTATTTTATGTTAATTCATTTTTACTTTATTATGAGAAATATATCAAAATACTTTTAAATTATTACTAATAAAGTATTTTGATATATTTCTTCAAATAATTCATTAATTGTACTTGACACCATTATGGAGTCATAAAAGTACAGAATTGTGTTTTGCCGTCGGTATTTCACATTCATGCTTCAATTTTTCTTTTCAAATGCATGTGTAAACATATGTAACAGGACATACATATATTATGGCGTTTACACATTTGTATGTATTTTTATGTAGATATGTACACTCATTACTTCATGTGAAATCTCCGTTGACACATTTTTTGCTTTTATGTCAAAGAGTTAATCTGTCGAAGAACTGACGCGACGACAAAGCGTCACAACATTGTGTTGTTGGTAGAAAATCCGAGATGTACCATACACACTCTTACAAACATACATCGCATATGGGCAAGTGCAAAGTCAATGTGTGTACAAAAAATTCCAACGTACTTACGTAAATTCTTTGACAAATACAGTCAATCCCGGTTAAGTGCCAAAACCAAAGATGCAGATTTTTTATTAGATTAGATTAGATATTAGATTATTTCTATGTATTTAAAAAAAAATTACCGTTTTCCTTAAAAAATTAAGGAAAAAAAAGTGAGATGCAGCAAGACACCGGCAGATAAGAGGGATTGGAGGAGTGATACTTAACCGGGGTTTATAATCATAAATCAGAGGAATATTGAATATTTTCTTTAAAAAGTTTCTTGAATTGTAAATCGACAAATTTACTATGTTGTCACTTTTATTCTAAAATATTTTAATACTCATATTTGAGGGGTTGTCACTTTTCCCTTCTAGAGGGAATATCAGAAATTTGTTCAATTTATGATTTTTAGCTTTTGCCATCGTCGCGAAAAGACGCTTGTAGGCAAACGCATGCTCGGGGAGATGTGTTAGGCGTTTGCTTTTATGAATGAAACGACTTAGCTTATTGCTTGGGCGCCAGCGTTCACGAATGAAAATGTTGTTGGTGTGTGATTTACTACAAATTTAGGATTTGTAAATTTGGCTGCCATATTGATTTCTGGTGCTGATGCTATTTGAGACAATTGTTGTTTTTGTACAACAATGTTTGTATTTTTCCTATTGGCTGACGTACTTACATTTGTACGCTTAAATGTATGTAGATTTGTGTATGCATTACTAATTTTGCGCGGTCATATGCATATTTGTACATACATACTTACATATAGAGCAGTGCGCTCACATGTATTTATTGATAATTGATAATATATTATTATATTATATAATATAACATATTGATGTACATACATAAATTATTAATTCTGTAAAAATTGAAATTAGAAAATTATGAAAATAGTAAAATATCATTTTTTGCATAATCTTTCACATTTTATCAATGTAGCATTTGTGCAAAAAAATAATAATTTATCAATTTTTCATTATAAAAATCGTTTATATGGCAAAAAATAATCATGCATATGTGAAGTGGCATTTGTATTTCTTGTTTTCTCATTCATTTCATTTCATTTTTCTCTTTATATTGGTAGATACGTATTTTGTCAGAGAACGTTGTTAAAAATTCTCATTTCTGTTAAATAACAGCAAAACTATACAGAAAGTGGTGAATTCCTTGATCTCAAATTTTCAGCAAACCAATCGAGCATCATACAAAATTCAATTTGCACCTTCTCATTGTTTTAAGTTCTCTGGTATAAGCATACCTCGTTAAAGTGGTATAACTTATATTTTCAATGCTACCAAGTTTTGTTTAAACATTTTAGACTAGTTTTCTTACTATGCATGGCTCAAACTACAAATGACTGTCAAAGTGACATACAAATTTGTAATTAAAAAAAGTTTTAAATCAAATGTAAAAACGTTAGTATTGAGTTTGGTGAAAAAAAAGTTGAATAAATATTATTTTGATCAGAAAACGTTAGCATGGATGAGGGATTGTTAAATGTTATTTGGCACGGAAAGAAGAGTTCTTCCCCCAAAGAAAAGAGAACAGCATATATGCTTATGTGTTGGAGAACATGCTGGCTCAAGGTTTTTCCGGAAGTTAAATGTTTTTTTTTGTTGTAATGGCGTCAAAAGAAGCCCAACCCAATCCCCTCTCTTCTTTGTCATATACAGTAACGGCTTTCATAATCCCATACTCGTCTCCAGAACCTCTATCTATTCCTCCATCATCACTTTCTGTCAACGTTGTACCTCTTCTGATCCAATCTCCAGTACTATCAATATTCTCATCAACCACTCCGCCTCAACCAAATAACCGCTATAGAACGATACTATGAAAATAAAATTAAAATCAAGGAGTAAAAGACACTGGAGAAAGAACATAGTAACGATTCCGTACTGCAGACTATAAGCTAGATAGAATGGAAGAAGTTGGAGATATTGAAAAGGTCACTACCATATATAATTAATCACGTAATCCTTTTTTATAACGAACCGTTTTATCTATTTTTAGCTTTGAAACATTTTTTTATTTTAATTTAATAAAATGATTTCTTTCCATATATTAGAAATAGGTTATTTGTTCTATTAAGTAAATATTAAAATATGTGATGAATTTTTGTGATAATGTAATATAACTTTAAGGCAAGGAATTCGTTTAGTTTTACATAAAATGAAAAATACGCGTTTATATTTCATTTACACTTACTTCTTGTGGGAATCTTTTTGTAAATTCTTTCCTATATGTTCATTTTGTACAATCCAATGTGAATTTACCGATAAATCGTGTACCTTCTAACTCACTCTTGAGTTCGATCATTAATTTATCTTTATTTCTAATTTCAACAACTTAACAGTTTACTACTCATTACTTATATCTCAATTGCTCTTAACACGACAATACTCTAACTAGAATTATGTATGCTACACAATCTGGCAGCCCTTCTTCAGATCTTTAACAAAACTTCACTTCTAGAATATTCTGGCAACTAAGAATTCGCTTCCTAGTTGATTCTGCCAATTTATCGTCGATTTTATTCTATCTATCTAAGTCTGACCGTCCCGATTACACATATTTGCGGTACAAAACACAAAGCCCGATTGTGGACTGTGAGGATAATTTAACTGGTATACAGACTTCCTGCTCTTCTAACTGTGAGGTCACCTGTGCTGATATACAAGCTTCTTACTCTTCTGACTGTAAGGAACCTTGTACTAGTATACACGCCTCCTGCTCTTTCAACTATAAGGACACCTGTGATGATATACATGGTTCGTGCTCTTCCAACTGTAAGGACACTTGTACTGGTACACAAGCTTCTTGCTCTTCTGTTTGTGAGGACCCTTGTACTAGTATACATGCTTCCTGCTCTTCCAACTGCGCGGACACCTGTGCTGATATACAAACTTCTTGCTCTTCACACGTCTTCTTTACTGGTTCACACGCTTCCTGATATTCCAACTGCATCTGTGACAAACATGGATCTAACGCTGCGAACTGCTCTTAAAACTGCGTTGACAACCGCGTTTCTAACGAAGACAATTGGGATTATTGTGCCAATATTTGTGACGACACCTTTGCTATTTGTAAGAATTTATGATTATTGTCATCTAGGATGGTGTTAATTTCCTTAGCTGTTCTTCTCTTATTGGAGTTGATTCCATCCCTTGACTTAAAGCCCTTGACTACCCAAACATGACTATTTCCTAATTTATTGGTGGTAAATAGACCTGAATTGTACCGTTTCATCTCCCCATGACTCCTTGACCTTGATCCTTTAGCTACAATACACCCACCATATTTGGCAATCTCCTCCATAGCTGGTTGACGACAACCAGTTCAATAAAACCTTTGCTTTAATTTCGGTAGGTTTTCGTGATTCTCAAGTGTTCTCCACTTAGACCTTTGTACTGCACGTTAAGAACATCAGGTATTCTAACCTT